TTTTTCCTTTGGACGTCCAAAAAGTCACTTACCCAAAAGGACCGAACTCTGGCCCAAAACAGGCCCCTTTGGCAACAAGGTTTTGTCCAGCTCCAGCCGAAAAAAACCGCCAATCTTGACCCCCCCCAGATAACCCCCAAGCTCACTCTGTGAGGTAATGAACGAAGCTCCTTCACGAGGAGCTTTCGTGATAAAGAAACGAGAAGAATGATAACGAAAGAACGGGAAGGGACATGGACACCTCTCCTTCACCCCATAATTCTGTTTCTCCAAGAGAGGGTGAGTTTCATGATAGAAAATGGTTCCACTTTGTGTAGTAAGAGCAAGCTTGCTGATGTCAGAGTTTGTGATCACCCTGATTTCATCTGCCCCATCGCTCTTTCCATCGATTACCCTTTCGCCGCCCTGTCGTGTAAAGAAACGGAGAGAGATCGAGCACAACCAACATGAGGAATGGAGGGGAGGGAGGAAGAAGATACTAAAAACAACAACTGGATGTCTTCCCTTGCCTCTTCTGTTATCCTGCTTCTCATCAGGAGGGGTTGAGAAGTGAAGCAATTCTCCTCGCACCACACATTCCTGGCAATTGAAGCACATAAGACAAACAAGTAGGAAGAGCACAGAGGGAAATAGGAGGCACGGAAAGGAGACGGAAAGGAGAGGAGAGCTCATCTTAATATATGTCAAGAGAAACAGAGCACAGGAACCCACTCTGTTTTCATCTTGCCTGTTCTTCCCTTTGGCCCTTGTCACAACTGATGGAGAAGAAGGCAAACAGATAGTTCAAGACAGAAACCCGATATACACTCTCCCCCTGCCACACCCTTCTGAGAACTGCAGGTGCTACACAACAAAGATCAGATTGAGAAAGAAGACACAGGGAACCAGAAGATGGACACGCTGGGCAAGAAAGATCTGCCACGGAGCATGGACACCGGTTTGATGCAGTTTCTGCATATGGTTTCCGATAGTGCTCTGACGGTTTCTGAGAATCCTCTCATGGTTCCAAGTCTGATGTGAGCCTTCAACACGCACAGAAACACCGGACACTGCAACACATGTAGATGCAATTAAAGTCTAGCTTACATTGTATTTGTGGCATGGATCTATGACACTTGACTTGAGTGTACAGATTACGGTTTTTTTGAGCAAGTGTTATCCCGAAACGAACCCTAAATGTCCTTGCCCATAACCCCATATTTCTATAAACCGAACTGAGTTTTGAGGTTGGAATTGTTGGATTTCGGTGATTCGTACACCCCGCGCCCCCAAGAACCACCTCTGCGGTAGATCGTGGGGGGGAGCATATGGATGTATATGTATGTGTGTATATATATATATGCCCTATATATACGACATACATATACATCGATTCTATATGTACGCAAGTGCGTATGTGCATGCACAAGTACGCAAGGACGTATGTATGCATCAGAAACATGCAAGACTCATCGGAACTTGGCTCGGCAACGAAAGGCGTAGCGTCCCTTCATCCAATAATCGTTTCCTTGTACAAGAATAGCTGCCAAGCCTGCGCCGGTGCATCCGCTGCAGGCGACGCCTGAATCTCCTGACGCCATGCAAACCCTTCCTTTGCACAATTTCTGTTCCTCATGTTCGTATGGCTTCAAACTGTTCGAACTGCTCTCGCCACCTCTCTGTGAAGGCATTGTACCACACCCAGGAGAAAGAGACGAGGGGCCGGAGTCCGTTCCAAGAAATGACACTCGCATGATTGTTGACAAAGGCGCAGGCAACTGCAATGCCTCCGTTAAAGGACAAAAAGCTACTAGTACGGTACTTTTCGAATCGTTTCAACATATACTTCAGGATTTTGATTGGCTTTTTACAGTAGCTTTGGGAACTCTGGGTTTCTTCGGCCGTTTCATGCATAATTCTATTTCCATGATTCTGCACTTCAACTTTCCTCTTCAGTGCAGGTTGCCTGCTGTCTCCGTAGGAGGCATGTGCCGTGTTAGAAGCCTGCACGCAGCTTCTGCTGCCATGGCTCCGTAGCTTCCGGCTTTGAGCTCATGAGGCATTCTGGATTGATCCACGCTCATGTTCCACCTTTGACAAAGAAGACTCATATTTACACCTCGAAGTGCTCAAAACGTCCCAATTTCAATATGCGAGCCGCAAACGGGTGAAATTCCACATTCCACCGGGAACCTCAACATACCTCAACTAAAGCTCAGCATCCTGCCTCACCCTCGGCGCGGCGTACCGCTGCGAGCTGGTCTTGAAATAGCGCCTCCTCGTATTCACGGTCCTGGCGTTTGTGGTCTTGGGCTAGCTCATAAATCATCAGGCCCCGCCGGAAGATTCGGAAATGAGGGCTTGGTGCTAGAAAGTCAAAATAGGGCCAACATACAGACTCTGGAGCCACGAATCCCAGAGTCTCCCCCGCCTGCTGCTCACGCAGCTGCCGTGCTTCTGTCAGCTGAGCCGTGCGCCGATGCCGATGCTCCTCTTGCCAAAACAGTGCCAATGTATGATGATAGGGGGTATATCCGGTATTCGGTCGCAGTCATGTGGTGGGATGCGGACTCCTTGGGGCTGCCGGGAATGATTCTCGTGTCTAACTCACGAGCAGGTCTTTGAATCGTCGCGTTTGTCGTAAAGTATTCATCGTCACCTTGTCAAAAAGGGTCTCTTCCTTCTTTCACGACCAAGCCTTGACATTTAATTGCCTGCCTGTTCCGGAACTCTCAGAGATTGAACCAAGAACCCAGCGAAATTCCTGGCAAATGACCGGCGGGAGGCATTTCACACACACAGGGCCCAGCCAAAAATCAAGAAGCTTGAAGCTGCTATTCAAGTCGGGTGTCCTGCTCCATCTGCACCTCGGCCTGAAAGTCCTTCATCCATAAACACTTGGTTGGGCTAAGGCGATAATAGCTTTAAGCGTGTGTGTGTGTGTGTGTGTATACGCGTGTGTGTGTGTGTGTGGGTGGGTGCGTGCGTGCGTGTGCGCGTGCGCGTGCGCGCGCGTGCGTGTGTGCGCGTGGGTGTGTGGGTGGGTGGGTGTGTGTGTGTGTGTGCCAGTGGGGCCACTGCCGTTGTGTGATTGCCAAACTTGAGTATTAATTTATTGCTCAGTCCGGCAATGCGGATTACGTGAGTAGTGCTTTTCCCTTTGCTTCCTTGCAGAGGTGGACGCGGGTTGTGACGTCCATCCATGGCGACGCAGATTCTGTAACTGTATGTATCTCTCTGTGGATTCGTGCTGTTATGTACTGTTGCTTGCTTGGTAGGTCGCTACATAGATTTGCTGTGCTACCTGTGTCCGTGTTTGCGCGCCGAGAGACAGAGAGAGTTTGTTCGACAGCGACTTGAGCAACATCCCTGAGCCCGCTTCAACCTCCGACCCTGAGCACCTGCGAGGTGCTCGTGATGGTCGCGATCGCCTGGCCATGTGAATCAAACTAGCTATCAATCTTCATGCAAAACAGAATGGCCTTGCATCGAACACAGTTTCCATGGCCTTCACCTTGCCTGTACTGACTGGGCGAAGAGCTATGCCTGTAGTGACTAATTATAGTGTTTGCCTCGCCCGAAAACTCACGACCGAAGAAGAAGAAGGTGCGTGCAAGTGGGTCAATCTGCGCCGATGCCGCAGGATCGAATCTAACAAAATCTTAGAGACGTTCAGTCTCGTGGTCCTGGTCTGACACCGTCAGGTGCTTTGGTTGCATAGCTCATGTCTACTGCGCACGTGGTGCTGCATGGCAAGCCCAGCACGCGACAGTGTACCCCTACAATTCGGCGCTGTACCAGGTCGATGTCTGGGGGAGCTCCTTCCTGCTCGGGCCTGCGGAGAGGTGGAAGTCAACTGGGACGGTCACTTCAATGGACACCACCTAAGCGTCCTCCATAGGCAAAAAATCTAGAACTGCGTGGAACTAACATCTCCCAAGACCATCCGGCTGATTCTGGAATGATACCGTTGACAGGAAACTGCAAGACTTACTGATGGTTCAAACATTTCCAGATGCAGCCTCACCGTTCTGCAAGGTCCGGGCTTAGCAAAGCTTCGTGCTTGTGGCTTGTACTACTAGGGGTAAGTTACTAGCGAGCTGTGTATAGTCGGTGGTTGAGAGTGGAAACCATCTCCTTAACTGATGTTTCGCATGGTGTCGTTGCATGACCAACGCCACACAACGAATGGGGCCGGCGCCGTCTTGTGTGGGCAGCTATATGGAAGGCAAGTTGACTTTACGTGATCCGTGCTCTTCATGAACGGGACCGATGCAAGTGTACTTCGTCTCGCCAAAATAAAAACCACAACATACACAAAACAAAACTCCTCAGGAGCCCGGTAGATGCACACCATAACACCAATGTGAACAATATTTGATTACTTGACATACTCAGGCTGCGACAGGCAACGGTGCAGTGGTTGGCAGAAGGTTCCCAAAGGCCATTCGACGCACAAACTCGGTGGGCAAAAGAAACGCTCTTGGAGACCCCGCCCCGGACACGCTCGTAGCCACTGGAAGGAATTCGGCTTGACAACTGATCCAATACTCTTACATTGAATCTAGTTCGGGGTTGAGCTGCCGAAATCCAAAGTCATGAACATGTGCCATGCAAAGCCTAAAGTGAAGACCTGAACTTAACAGTTTGAGAAACGTGCTTATTGGATACGGCTGGTCTCGGGGGACCACACAACCAAAGCGTACGTGGCTCCAGAGCACGAGATGATTGAACTTCAGTGATTGGAGTGCCGAACCACTGCAAAATCAGTGCAGAACCCCGAAGCACTTGAGCCCGTACGGCATATATAGATATATATATATATATAATATCCATATATATTATACATCCGTCTATATATATATATGTATACACACACACACACAAACCTTAGCCCGTAAGTAGCCGTAGACCCAGAAGCTCGCATCATGCGATGTCTTCCATCCTGCAGCCACAAGATCCTAGCTGGATGTCCTTTACTTCTCATGGGACCCAAACCTCAAGCCATCCAAGGCCCCAGCAAATTGGTGTCGAATCCGTTGGCCAAGGGCTGAAGCAAAACCAGACTTGGAAACTTCGTCAGCCCCATGAGCCTGCTGCGCACAGGCGTGGTCGCTGCGGGGAACACAAACGTCTGTTTTTCAATGTCTTTGGATCTAGGGGTATACCGTCTGCCTGTCTCATGTACTCGCATATGTAAGCGTCTATGTATGAGGAAGCAATCATGACCATGGATTGACACACGAGAGATTTGCATCCGAGTATGCAGGCTCGCAGGTCCAGCGTGTGGGCCGAATCATGCCAATTCAAAAGACACTAGCCCAACTGGGCGCATAGCACATCGCACCCTCATTTACAGGTGCGCTTGCATTGGAGCTGCAGACACGATGACACTTCTGCAGCCAATTAAACATAGCAGCAACGCACACTCACACACCCACACACACGTGCACGCACGTGTGCGTGCGCACACAATGCACAACACCACCCACAAACCAAAACAAACGCACGAACGTGCACGCACTCACACGAATTCACATGCACACGCGTGTACACACACAAACACACATGTATATATATATATAAACACACACACACACACAGAGACAGTCATACAGACATGCACACGCACACACACCGGCACACGCCCGCATGCAGACACAGCGGGTGCGCACACACACACACACTAACTGTCTTACTCCAGAAATCTGTCAAATCAACAGATGCTGATGCTGGCAGTGGCGCTGACTGACTGCCCGATGCTTCTCCGAATCGCCTCGCTATCTGCGAAGGCTCGAAGCGGCAAACATCTCCCGCCCACAGGAGAAACGTGTCCTGAATTTGCTCGGGGCTGTGGGAATTTCTTGAAAGACTAACAGAGGTTACGTGTACCAAACATCATGCAAGCTAGCAACCTGCCAAAATCGAAGCTTTGGTCAAGGCTGGGATGTAAATAGCACCACAGTTTCCCAAAGCCAAACGAGAGCCAAAGCTCAGGATACGGATTCGCTTGCGGTGTTCGTCGTTTGAAGATCCCACAAAGTCGAAGAAACAATCCGAAAAACAACAACTATGTTCGGGATACGTATTGGCCCGTCGGGCAGCTGGCCTGGAGCAGGCCCAGCACCAGTTCGTTCTGCAGCACCTCCCTGGATTGATACAGGGCTCTCGGACTCAGACGGCATTGTGGGGGTCTCTATCTCTGCCGGCAGGTTTGGAGGCCAGCTAGCATATGCAATATCGCGTCTGCTGCTGTCCCGCTAATCCATCAAGCCCTTGCCGGCTGCCAGTCAAGGTCTCTGCAAGAACCATCAAAATCATCAAACCAATGCTTCTTCAAGCCTGCAGAATCTTTCAGTGGCCGGTCCATCTGCCTCTTTGCAGGAAGCTGGCTCTGCGGCAGTGGTTGAAAATCATGCAAGGGGTAATACTCTAGTGCTCACAACTACACGATTACAACGCTGCAGTCCTCACCTTGAACAAAAACTCAAGTTGAAGTTGAAGCTGTCGCGGGAGCATCGACATGCGCGAGAAGCTGCTCGAAATACTTTGCTGTCGGTCTTGATGTTATTTCGGGCAAACTACGGTATGCAAAGTGTCAATGATGCCGCTACGACGACGGCACCGACAAACACAAACAGAATTGCATACACCCAAACTGGTAGCACCATTTACACAAAAACTGTATGCCTGAAGCCCAAATGTAATAAATGTAAACCTTTATTTTAGTTTATAGCCATTAACTAAAGAAGTAAGCGGTAAGCCTACAGCAATAAGCTTCAACCCGAGTAAGAATCGGAAGCCCGGACCGCCAGACCCAGCGAGAATGCAATTTAAGCAATAGAGCTAGCTGCAACTCCCCGTGTTGAGAATAAATGCATGTCGCAGTGCACTTTTCTGTTCCGTGTCAGCTATGAGATCCTCAAACAAGCATGTTCCGCCTCGTGAAACCAGGCCATCACCAACATGCCTTCGTTGAGACCCCTCTGCACGGCGTCGCCGAAGCTGGTCTCGACAGGCCGTGTGCTACCAGTATCTGGGTTTGTGCGCAAGGCATTCAGGCCAAAACGATCCAAAACAATGCTGATGAATCACTCTCTCGGCCAGAGACCACACACACCCTTGCATCTTCCACCGCACAGCTTCAGAAGCACTTTCCTCTTGCCCCTGCAGCGATCCATGTGCCGTTCTTTAACTCAAGACGGGTAGAACCCATGGAAATTCAACACTGAGCCTTGCAGAAGCTAGGTGCCGGCGGGCCAAATCGGTCCAGGAACCACTGATCAAAGTCCTTCTTCTGCAGGGCATTGGGGTATACACACATACATACATACATACATACATACATGCATAAATACTTACATACATACATACATACATACATAAAGACATACATAAGTACACATGCATATACATATAGGTAAAAAGAAAGATAGATACATTCATACATCGGTCCATAGATGTATGCATACACATGCAAGCATACAAACATACATACGTACCTACCTACCTACCTACCTACCTACATACATACATACATGCATACATACATACACCATCATACATGTAAACATCCATAGCTACTTATGTAATTACATATGCACGCGTACACACACAGAGACCCGCCCACACACACACACACATTATATATATATATACACACATACATACATACATAAATACATACATATATATATATATGCTAGCCCCCCCCCCCAAGAACTACCGCGCCAATCCTCCTACGTTGAGGCTTCTGGTGTATGGCCAAAGTTTAGAATTAGGTTTTGAAGTCCCG